TTTGGGGCTTCAGGTTTGGGATTTGTGTTCGGGGTTGGACGTGTAGGCCTCAAGATTTAGAGTTTCTCAAAGCCAGGAGTCCCTGTAAGGCGGGGCTTTGTCGCGGATATCTTTTGTGTGGCGTTTGGTTGGGGCTTTTATCCTGGGCTTACTATCAAAACATATATTTGTGCAGAATTCGCGTGTAAAAGGTTGGTATTAACGTTCCTTCAGGATGGTTATGTCGTAGCACGTTCAAAGTTCAATTCCTGACAGTTCTTGAGCATCAATATAGCAAGGAACCCATTACAGTGGGCAGGCCGCTGAGAAACTGCAAAAGCTACGCCGGCAGATAGCACCTCTTCTGCTGACATGAGTTGCCATGCAGCCAGCTGTCACCCTGTGCTGTACTCCAAAGTTCTGATGGGCAGGACCTGCAGCAACTGGCAGCAGGACAAGGCCAGCTATTGACAATCCTTGGTCAATGGTCAACCGCCTGCCCCTGCCCAAAAGCATCCATCCACACAGGTGCAAGCAGCGAGCTTGCGCAGCAGGATGCACAAGGCCAGCCAGGAATCCAGATGATGATCTTTTGCTGAGTAACGACAGCAGTATTTTTGGACATGACAGCTTCATGCTTCTGGTCTGACTCAGGCTGATTGCACTGTCTTCTGCTGCTCTCACTCCACTGAGCCTAGCACGGAGCACAATTTTCCAAACCGAGCCTGAGTTCTTAGCAGCAGGATTCCTTCCGGCGTTGTCGAGAAGCATGTCAGAAACCGGGATCCACAAGGGGTCTCGATTGTTGCTGGAGTTTCTTATCGATTAGGTCGTAAAAAGGCGTGCAGCCCTCAAGCTCTGAATGAATCGCTGGTTGGAAAATTCTGTGCCGCAAGCGGCCCGTGAGTTATGGCTACTCACTTGAGAGAGTCGTTCGGGTGCGGTGCCGCGGCGGTGCCGCTTGGCTACGATGAAGCCTATGGCCGTTCTGGGCTTTGCTACCCGCGCAGGACAGCCTGGTCGAGAAGCTTCTTGCTGCAGCAGGGGGCACCGACGAGCGCTGTCAGGCTTCAAGTGCTAGCATTGCTGTAGCGGAGGGAAGGACGCTGCATCAGTGTGGCAATCGGCATTTGAGTAGCACCTGCAAACCAAAGCCATCGCAGCACGTCTTGTTTGTTGCTGAACAGGAAACGGCTCAGCTCCTGGCTGAGCTCTCGACACGGGTTGATACCCAAGGTCTGCCCAGATGCAGATGGGACCTGGAAAGTGGGACTCGGGGTTGCTATGTCTTGCTGTCCAGATGTTGGGCTGATTACTGACAACGGAGGGTCTGTTTCTTTCAGGAAAGCTTCCATTCGCCTCTTATCCGTAGTGAAATTGAGATTGGCCGCAGGATGCAAGAGGCTTCTGAGACTTTAGCTTTGAAATGCTGACACGCCATTTCCTGGAAGGGGTACTGAAAGCCGGCTGTGGGCACAGTTGAGCATTGCATGTGCCGTTGTAGGGCACACCACATCTCTGCTTCTCGGCTCAGCTTAGTGACCTTCAGTCAGTTCTCCTACGCTGCCCCACTCGTGGCTTGGCTAGATCTTTGTGCTACTGTCAGCCATCAAGGGATAACCTGCCAATGTTGTTTGCATCTGCCGGAAGGTATGCTGGAGCAGGTGGGAAAATGTGAGAGCCGAATGCCCACCAATGTGAGGCTCGCTTGCTGCTTCCACAAACATGGGTGCTGGAGCCTCATCCGCCGCGGAAGCCGCCAAGAACGCCACTGTGGAGGTCAGGGGTGACAGCCTCTTTTCCAAATCATGCCCCAGTCGAGTACTGAGTGTTTTAAACGGGGATCCTGTAGTCGGCTATGTAGAGCTCTACAAAGACTACTGTAAGTTAAGCTCATGGGTATGCAGTTCTGTCAGGGTAGGGTACTGCTAGAAAGATCACACTCTCCTTGTGGCTTCTAGTAGTTTTGCAGTTGTCTTGAACCAGGAGCTCAAGGCTGCGATCGCTGCAGCCACACCTGAGGAGCAGAAGAAGTTGGCCGATGCCCTGAAGGCCCTGGAAGGCCGCCAAAAGGGCCACCGAGATATTGGTTTCTGTTATTGAATATGACTCATGGCAGTAGTTCAGAGAAGGCAGCATTGATCATTTTCTGTCATCATGTGCTGCAGGATTAAGATGTCAATGACGGTGCTCTCTTCCGTGTATATATACTACCAATACTACAGAACACAAACCCCGTTGTTGCATTCCTGAATCCTAAACCGTAAATCC